TCTCTGTATCTATGAAGCGCCTTGAGGCGACTTTTGTTGTGATTTGGCGCTATATAAATAAAATTGAATTGAATTGAATTGAATTGAATCGACTAGGCATTACATTTAAAGTTGCAATTTCAATGGTGCCAGACATGGCTCTAGGTGCAGCATATACATTATTTGAAACAATACGAAGATTTGCACACATTAACATGAGGATAAATGAAAACTGCGACATATTAGTCTGCATGGTCTATTTGGCAGGGCCAATGAGAAATCTGGTGGCTATTAGATGTCAGACCACTTCCATGTGCTTGTCAGAAATGTTTCACCTGCATTTTATGAAGCTCAAAGAACAAATTCAATTGTTTGGCCCTACACCCAAGTGAAACTTCTAAAGCCACTAAATGCAGAAATAGAGGTAGAAAGTGCACAGATGACAAACTCATTATGGGCTCATATTCTACAGCCTTCAGTAAGATCGGAGGCTTTAAATATAAGGTTCACCAAGTTTATCAGCCAGAACCAGAACAAAGTCGCTGTTAAACTCTGGGGTTAAAACAACATTTGCTATGGTGACTTTTTCCACCAACATATTTTCATGCAAATGGAACTTTATTCAGGCCTGCCACTACTTTAGAAATCAGAAGAGACTGAATTGAAATTCTGTCTTAGTTGGCTACAACAATTTTAATTCGGAGCCAAATATCTTTAATTGCTTTGCTATAAACATCTGATTTGGGGTATAATAATGTTAATTGGACTCTTACCATGTTAATAAGGCAACAAAAAACAACAGTTAGAAACCGTTAACATCAAAAGCAGATGAACATAACTGGTCAAAGCAGATGGCCACCCCTCCCTGAGCCTGATTCTAATGAGGCTTCTTCCTGTTAAAACTGAGTTTTTCCTCCCCACTGTTGCTAAGTGCTTGCTCATAGGGGGTCATTAGATTGTTGGAGTTCTCTCTAATACCGCAGGGTCTTTACCTTACAGTTTCAAGACACTTGAGGTTACTACTGTTGTGATGTGAAGCAATATAAATACATTTGAAAAAAACTGAATTGAATTAAATCACAAAATCTTTTAAAAAACAGTGTTTGTCATCTGATTCTGGGGGAGTGGAAAACTGCCTCCCCTCCCTGCTTCAAGAGGTGGCTCAAGGAGATGGTCTCCTGTTTATACCTGGAAGAAATTCGGTTCTCTACGTCTGATTCCATGGAGAAGTTCAGGAAGATATGGGGGCCCTTTATAGACCACATTAAGAAGGACAGTTCACGCCCTGGGTCTTGACCACGTTGTTTTAACTGCTTTCATTCTGAGCTGTTGCCCATATCTGTTATTGCATAATTGTTATTGGCTCCTCCTAGCGATCTTTGGATTTGATCTTGTGGATTGGACTCACTGGATTGTGAGTTGTTTGACATGTTTACCAGTTGCTTTTTTCTTCTTCTCTGCTGTTCTTAATAAGTGCTGGCCGTGTACCCTGTTGTGGGGTGTGTTGCTCTATTTTTTGTTTGTTTGTTCCTGTGTTTTGTTTTTGATTTTTTTTTTGTTGTTATTGTCTTTATTGTCTGTGTTCCTCTGTCCCGCTGTTTGTGAATGTGTAAAATTTTTGAAACTTGCATAAATAAATACATAAAAAAACAAAAAAAACAAAAAACAAACAGTGTTTGTCTGTATAGTAAAATTGGTCAAAAGTCAGGTTAAAGGTCAGCTTCTGTTGTTTAAATGTGCTATAGACTATCTCTTTAAGAAAACGAACAGAATTAACACAAGGAGCCCAAGTGTGTCAGAGCTGCCTTGCACCTCTACCGTTAAATCCAATGTTAACCTTTCTCGTCTATCGAGCAAAAGGAGTAACTTGGTCAGGTTTAATATTATTGACACAAAAAAAATGCCCCACATGTAGACATTAGTAACATCTATTTGTGCTCTTATCAGTACAAGTGGGTCAATGTGTGTTATAGTTTTTACATGGCAGGGTCTTATTTTAGGGTTCCTCAGCAGAGATTTCTCTACATCTCTTAGCCTCACTCTCCTAGCTACACCCCCACATCTGAACACACCATTTTGATACTATGTTATAGCTGTGTAACAGAAAAATCAAAAAAATGGTGCCTCTAATGAAAAAGTGGAACATAAAATAAGTAAATGAAGATTATCTCATGCAATACCAGTCAATGATTTTATCTACCAATAAAATAACTGATACAGCTTTTGTGGCTGAACCTGAAAACCCACAACCTTTAATGCTAGTTTTATCTTATAATTGAATGTTTCTTGTCACTGAAAACTACTTTATGAGCCAATATATACTTATCAGCAAGCATAGCAGCCTTCTGTAAGGGTAATATTTCTATATTTAAAAAGATACACATCTTAACATTTCATAGTTGCATACGTTCTGCCTTTTATAAATTACACTGGATTATACAGTTTTGTAAACTGC